AAAAACCAACTCTTTTATGTGCAATACAGTTTAGTTCAGTTCTTTTGATTCTTTTGCACACTCGTAAATATTCAAGAAAATGGAATACTTGTATCATCTCTACTAGATGGAGTGAATCTTTATCTGCACATGCTATAGTCTTCCTCTCTATGACCTATATCCAGTATTGCAGCCTTTGTGCGATGGGAGTATGACGACTGATAGACTTAACTTTAGTATATATAAGCTAGAGATAGGACCTAACATATCCTATCCATATTCAGAGGTGAAGGTGATGATGATGGGGTGATAGTGACGGTGTTATTGGTGGTGGTGTTGTTAGTGGTAGTGCTAATGAGGAAATCCATTTATGTGTGGATGAGAGATGATGTTCTTTTCATGATATCATGATGTACTTCCACACCATGACATGAGAGTTGAGGGGGGTTGAAGTGACACAAGCTTTCGAACTCGCGCAAATTAAAAATTATTTTTTATTAGGGTTCAGAAAATTTGCAGTAAAGTGGAAACCCTTAGTCGTCTCTCAAGGAAATTGTTTTGGTAAAAATCGCTTATGATGGCAAAAAATTAAAAGGGAGGTTTTGGATTTTGATTGAATAATTAAAAAGGCAAAATATAAATTTGGAATAAAAATTTGGAATTAAAAATTAACCAACCTAAGGTTAGGGTTCCATGGACGTCTTTCCTCGGATAAAAAGATATCAGAATTGTGATTGATCGTCAATCGAATCAGAATCCTTATTTCCAATTGACAACCCTCTCTAAGCGATCGCTTAACATTTGATCAAATATGATGTTTCTACTCATACAATCGCAGAGTATCAGCCCGTTTGATTTAAGGTCATAGGGTCAATCAATCTAACCATCAAATATGATGATTAATCCCTTTCCATAATCGCAATCGTGAATCTCATATTTAATATCCACGATCGCACGATATCAATCTGAGTTGGAAAGGGAAACGAAACTGATTTAAAATAAAGCGCAAACCCTCAAGACTAATCCATGGAATCCGTTACCCTTAGGTTGATTAAAAGGTTCTTAGCCTCGCATGGCTAAGGTAACATGATTAAAATAAAATAAAAAGAAGAAGAAGAAAAAGATGAAGAACGCGAAGAACGTTCCAGAGAAAGTGCTTTGATCCTAAAATACGAAAATTCAGAATCCCTAAAATGTTTCCTACTCTGCCGTCATATATCCCTACCCAAAGCGGGTTAGGGTTCAGTTCTGATCGGCCCATCTGTCTATAATACGAAATAAAATAAATAAAATAAAATAAAACTAAAAGTTGGCTTTGGGCAACTTAAGTAATTGGGTTTTAATTTAAATTACAAGTCCAATAATCAAATAAAACTTCAGCAAAATGCGTCCAACTTGACGTTAGAAATCGACCAACTTCCAGTCTAAATTGGGCTTCGAGCTCTTCATAAGAATTGTTACCCTCTGTGTTATCTGAAAAACCCAACAAGAATGGAGTCAATCTGACAACTGTGGACCGAGATATGGCTAAAATACAGAAGTAACATAAAGCTGAAAAATTCTGACAAAAATAAATTAAACCCAATGAAAAACTAAAAATCTAAATTAACTCAAAAAATTATTATTTTATTCAAATAAATCCTAAAAATACTAATCAAGAGTAACAAATAAGTGCAATAAAATATGAGTTATCAAATTCCCCCACACTTATCTTTTTGCACTCCTGGGCAAAAACTAGAATAGAAAAAGAAAGCAAAGAAATAAGAAAAGAGTGAAGATCAATCTATCCTTCCTAATAATAAGCAAGTATACAAAAGATAACAAAAATCACAAGTCTTGAACAGTTAAACCAACCAGGACAAAAATTCTCTAAACTCAAATCACAAGACCTGTCAATTTCAACTACTAACTACACAAAAATGGTTCCTCACAGGATGCTCTCAATTTTCTCTCAAGTGTATCAGTTAATTCAGTATATCACTCAAATCAACTCAAGATAATCATCCTACCATAGGCTTGCTCAAGTTCTACTTCTCCACTGCTAATAACACATGCATGCTCAAATTAAGAAGGCTTTATGTAGGGTTGTAATGGGGCTGAGGTAAAGGTATGGATGAATATGGAAGAGAAAGCTAAACACCCCAGAAATTTACAAAGAGCAAAAGTTAAGAACTAAACTAAGAACATAAAACAAAGATAATGCAAAGATAGAAATAAACACAATTTTATTTCTTTTTGCTTTTTCTCCCTTTTTGTTTTTTTTTGTTTAGAAACAATAATACAGACAAAATATCCAGATGGTTACCCCCCACACTTAAAATTTGCACGTCTCGGGCAAACCCCTACACTTAAACAAAACTCTACAATAAAACCAATGCTCAATAAATCTCCAGGATGTGGAATTAATTGGTTTTTCACTTAGGCTTGTAATGTGGCTAAGAAACAAAGGTGACATAGGGCACAAAAGGGTTAACCAAGGGAATACAATGCAAGGATGGCTATTTGGCTAAAGTGGGAAAGAAAAGAAAGAATGCCTCAATCATATTCATGCATGCAAGTGAAAAATGCAGTTTCAAAAAGAACATGAGCAAGTTCTAGAGGACAACAATCAAGAGCCAAATCACACAAGAAAGAAAGATTGGCCTACAGATGAAGACCATGTCTACAGGCTCAAAACCTCACAAAGGTATACCAAATCATCCAATCAGCAACACAGTATCAAGTAACAAGTAATGCAATCCAAGAATCAAGAACCAAGCCTAAACAGAAATTTTTATCAAACTTTGTGATTTAAGTATAATCCATGTATAACTCACTAATTACCAGAAAGAAGAGAAAAATCTACCTATGAAAGTCAAAAACTAAAAGAAAGAAAGGAAAAGAAAAATAAAAATGCAAATAACAGAAAGAAAAGAAAAAGAGGGAAGAGAACTCCATGAACTCCCTAAGGAGAATAAACAGCATCAAGTAGCTTGATTTCTTCCTCACTGGTTTAACACTTTCTTCAAGAAAAATGCGGTGCATGCACATGGAAGGGCTGATTTCCACATTATCTGCTAAAGTCCATCCAATTGCCTTCTTACTTTCTTTCAGCAATGTCAAAAGCTTTTCCTCCTGCTCAGGTAGAAGGTTCTTGGCCACTATCACATGTAATTGTTCATTTTCCTCCAGATATGAATACTTCAGATGGTCAGGCAGAACCTTTAGTTCCAAATTAGGTGGCTGCTCAGTGGATGGGAGAAGTCTAGCGGGTGCAGGTTCTACATAAAACACATTAACATCTATGCCTGCAATCAAATTCTCAGAAAAAGAATCATCAATAATTTCAACAGGCAATTCAGAATTCAACTTCAATGCAGAACCACTGTGCAAATCATCATTCAATGCATGATTCACATCAGAACAGCACACCGCTATCTCAGCACAAACAGTACAATTACTACTATCGGTACAACCACATGACAGATCAGAATCAAGGAATGATGATAATTCTGGAAATTCAGCAGTTAAGCCAGCAGATATATCATCAATCATTTCATCAATTACATCCATATAGAAACCGAATGTTGTTCCCTAGGAAATTTCATGGCATCAAAGATATTAAAATTTACTATGCTATCACCAAATTCCATTGAAAGAGTACCAGCATGCACATCTATCTTAGTCCTAGCAGTTTTCATGAAAGGTCTACCAAGTATAATTGTACTACTTGGAATCTCACCCTCCATCCCTAAGACATAGAAATCAGCAGGAAAAATCAGATTGTTCACCCTAACTAATATATCTTCAACTACACTAGAAGGATGAACACTACTCCTGTTGGCTAACTGAACAACAATACCAGTAGCACGCAAGGGACCAAGACCAAGAGGCTTATACACAGATTCAGGCATAACATTAATGGATGCTCCTAAGTCTAACATACAATCATGAAAAACAGAATTTCCAATAATGCAAGGGATAGTAAATGTCCCTGGATCTTGGCACTTCTTGGGCATGGGCTGGATGAGTGCTGACACATTCTGGCTGACGCTGACTCGTTCATCTCCTTTCAGCCTCCTATTGTTGGTGCACAACTCCTTCAGAAACTTAGCATATCTTGGAATTTGCTGAATCGCATCCAAGAGTGGGATATTGACCTCTACTTTTCTGAAGGTGTCAAGATCTTTATCTTGAGCTTTTGCTGCTTGCTTTTTAGACTGAGTGGCTCTTTGAGGAAAAGGTAACGGGATGTGGACATCAGAAGTATCAGTATTCTGCTTCCTTGAACCAGTGTCACCTCCTTGAGATGACTCAATAGCAGATTGGTTTGGTTCCTCCAGTTGCTTGCCAGACCGCAGAGAGATGGCTCTAACATTGCCGGTTCCCTTTGGATTTGCAACTGTGTGTGATGGAAGGAAGTTGCCTCTTGTTTGTTGATTCTGACTCATTGATGTTGCAAGTTGGCCAATCTGTGTTTGCAGATTCTGGATGGAAGACTCAGTCCTTTGCTGGAACTACAGATTGTTAGTTTCCATCTGCTTCACTAAATCCTCCAAAGAAGGACCATTGCTACTGGCTTGCTGCTGCATTGGCGGCTGCTGCATTCGCTGTGAAGGTGAAAATTGTTGAAAATTTTGCCTCTGCTGCGAAGGTGCAAACTGCTGCCTCTGCTGGAATGGTGCACTTTGCTGGTTCTGATTCCAATTGAGATTTGGATGATTTTTCCAGCCAGGATTATATGTATTAGAGAAGGGATTATTTTGCTGCTGCTGCTGCATCTGCTAGTATTGTGGCTTTGCAGGAAAAACTACAGCAACATACTAATCAACTTGGAAACCACTGTCTTGTAGAGAAGGAAAAGCATCCGTGGGGTGAGAAGGATCACAACAGATGCCACACAGGTTGCTTATCTGTTGAGCAGAAGGTTGCACAGTCTGTGTTACTGCCAACTGCCTCACCATTGATGTCAGCTCATCAAGTCTGTTCTCCATTCTCAGGTTATCTGTGCTTGATGCTCCTACTGCTGCCACTGTTGGATTTTACATTGGAGGAGTTTGCACTTGGAACACTGTACTGCTGTTTGCTCTAGTGCCAAATTGCTGAGCATTAGCCGTTATCTCAACAATCAACTCTTTTGCCTCATTAGGTGTTTTATTGCTCAGGACTCCTCCATTAGCTGCATCTAAAAGGTTCCTAGCCATAGGCAGCAATCCTTCATAGAAGTAAATAATCAGGAGATTGTCTGGAATCTGATGGTGTGGGCAGCTTGCACAAAGCCTTTTAAACCGCTCTCAATACTCATGCATGTTCTCCCCATTAGCCTGCCTTATGCCACTGATCTCCTTTCTGATTGAGGTGGCCCTAGATGAAGGGAAGAATTTCTCAAGAAAAAATCTTGACATGTCATTCCAGCTTACAATGGAGGAAGGTGGCAAGTAGTACAACCAATCCTTAGCTCCACTGTCCAAAGAGAAAGGAAAAGCACGCAACTTGATTTGCTCCTCATCCACCCCTGTTGGCTTCATAGTGCTGCAGACTATGTGAAATTCCTTCAGATGCTTGTGAGGATCCTCACCTGCAAGACCACGAAACTTGGGAAGCAAATGTATCAGTCCAGACTTAAGCTCAAAAGGTACAACAGGATTAGCATAACGAATACACAGGGGCTGCTCGTTATCAACATTAGGAGCAGCCAATTGCTTAAGTGTTCTATCACCCATGATTTCAAAATGAAATAAATTACCAAACGAATAGACACTATGTAAAGGACTCGAACAAACAACAGACTCAACAGACTCGGACTCAACAAACTCAGACTCTAAGGTATGCTCAGGAACAGCTCTACTATAAGTCAACCTACGAGCTTTACTAGCAGCATGCAATGATTTCTCTATCTCAGGGTCATATGCATATAAATCATCAACATTGGTGGTACTCCTAGTCATGCATCATAGGTAAAGGCATACAACAGTAAAATCACAAAACATACGATAAGACACAAAAAAATTGCCGAAAATAGCAAACAGAAGCAAAATAAATCTACAAAAAATACCAAATGACCTCAGAATGCTATAAGACCAACTCTCCTAAACTCTAATTGACCCTACGGACTCAAAAATCAAATATTTTTTTTTTTCAAAATATAAAATAAAATAGTAAACGAAGGAATTTTCCAAAACCAGGGCCTAATTTGTGATGCATGACCTCACGAGTTTTGACAGGGATGATCGTCTCCTTCAGCTCACCAATTTTCAGAGCGATCAGAGCAAGTTGAACAAGTTCAAAAATACCCGATACGTCCTGAAACGACAAAGAAACAGCAAAAACGGTTAGTAAACGAAAGAATTTTGCAAAAATAAAGGTTACCTCTTGCCCTTTTAGGGCGAGATTTATGCTCAGAAGGTTGAATTCCTTTGGGAATAGAACTCCCGAAGCCAATCTCTCAAACAGAAGTTTTACCGATTTCCCCAAATTTGCCCAAAACTGCCCAAAACGTAAACCGTAATGCAAAAAATTCAAAAACTGAGAAAAGATGCCTGTGTAGAATCAAATTCCGATGCAGAATCAAAGGTGAAGAAATCGGAATCAGAAAAACAAACGAGTACAAACGCAGAAACAAGACAGATGCGTAAACATAATTTTTTTTTTAATTTTTAATTTTTTTTTAGAAACAGAAACGAAAATTAAAGAAGAAGAAGATGATCAAATTCAGAAAACGATTTAGACCGATGCAATTTCCCCGGCAACGGCGCTAAATTTGACACGAGCTGTCGAACTCGCGCAAATTACAAATTATTTTTTTATTAGGGTTCAGAAAATTTGCAATAAAGCGGAAACCCTAAGTCGTCTCTCAAGGAAATTGTTTCGGTAAAAATCGCTTATGATGACAGAAAATTAATAGGGGGTTTTGGATTTTGATTGAATAATTAAAAAGGCAGAATATAAATTTGGAATAAAAATTCGTAATTAAAAATTAACCAACCTAAGGTTAGGGTTTCATGGACGTCTTTCCTCAGATAAAAAGATATCAGAATTGTGATTGATCGTCAATCGAATCAGAATCCTTATTTCCAATTGACAACCCTCTCTAAGCGATCGCTTAACATTTGATCAAATACAGTGCTTCTACTCATACAATCGTAGAGTATCAGCCCGTTTGATTTAAGGTCATAGGGCCAATTAATCTAACCATCAAATCTGATGATTAATCCATTTCCATAATCGCAATCGCGAACCTCAGAATGAATATCCACGATCACACGAAATCAATCTGAGTTGAAAAGGGAAACAAAACTGATTTAAAATAAAGCGCAGACTCTTAAGACTAATCTATGAAATCTGTTACCCTTAGGTTGATTAAAAGGTTCTTAGCCTCGCATGGCTAAGGTAAACATGATTAAAATCAAATAAAAAGAAGAAGAAGAAAAAGATGAAGAACGCGAAGAACGCTCCAGATAAAGTGCTTTGATCCCAAAATACGAAAATTTAGAATCCCTAAAATATTTCCTACTCTGCCGTCATATACCCCTACCCAAAGCGGGTTAGGGTTCAGTTCTGATCGGCCCATCTGTCTATAATATAGAATAAAATAAAATAAAACCAAAAGTTGGCTTTGGGCCACTTAAGTAATTGGGTTTTAATTTAAGTTACAAGTCCAATAATCAAATAAAACTTCAGCAAAACGCGTCCAACTTGGCGTTAGAAATCGACTAGCTTCCAGTCCTAATTGGGCTTCGAGCTCTTCATAATAATTGTAGCCCTCTGTGTTATCTGAAAAATCCAACAAGAAAGGATTCAATCCAACAACTGTGGACCGGCATATGGCCAAAATACAGAAGTAACGTAAAGTTGAAAAATTCTGACGAAAATAAATTAAACCCAATAAAAAAGTAAAAATCTAAATTAACTCAAAAATTAATTATTTTATTCAAATAAATCCTAAAAATACTAATCAAGAGTAACAAATAAGTGCAATAAAATATGAGTTATCATGAAGCGTGAACAAACTTCATTTAGGGCATAAGTGTACACTCGCCTAATGTAAGAACCCGCGCGTTAATTTAGGAATTTAATTAATTAATTAGGAAATTAATGAGATAATTCAATAATTGACCCTAATAATTATGAGAAGGATTAAATAATTATAGTAAGTGACTAAGAATGCTGAAAGTCAATTTTCTGATGAAAAGTGCAGATATCGGTTCTGCCTCACGGTATAAATGCGTATTGATGAAGTATCCCGGAAAATTATGAAAAAGTATGTATATGTCACTAGAATAATATATAGGACTAGCTTAACAAGTTTCAAGTTAAAATGATGAGAACTGGTTTTAGAACTGATACTGGCTAAGTAAAAGCGCGTACTGGAAAAGTGCTGCGAAAAATAAAATAAAAATATGACAAATCCTAGAAAAATGGCTAGGTTTAGAATCCTAAGTTTGGGATTAAAATGCTAAGCGTAGCTATTAGCGCTAATACAGTGCGATTAAAACTTAAGTGACCTATATAAGGCCTTGACACATGATCCTAGTGTTAGTATATGGATATCCTAGAGACAATCTTTTAATTACATTAGGACATATGTGAACCTTTGTATTGTCGCAAATAAATAAAAGCACTATTTATCCTATTTCATATTTTGTCTCAATATTACTGTTAATATTTTATATGAGTAACTGGATAAACCCCTTGGAATAAAATAGGTATCTCTTGAGTATCTGTGATGAGATCACGATCATGAGGATTCAAGGGTACTGGATATTTATTCCTAATTTTATGTTCCCAGTCTAGAGACACTGAGAATGGGGATCAGTGATCTCGGGTAAGACTAGCACGACTTATCTACTTGTAATTGAATGCAAGGTAAAGACCTCATGAGCTACAGATATGGAGATGTCTTAGCTAAAGTCGTGGGTGGATCTATAAGGGTATAACTCGCACTGAACAGACCCACAAAAGAGACTCTATGAGGAAATCTCACAAAGAGTATCAGTAGGAGTAGTCTCTTTATATTTGAGTATGTCTTTCCTTATACCAGAAATTATTACCTAGACTGTGTTCTAGAAGGCATGCTTTGACTGTATACCTCGTCTGCCTGAAATATGGAGACTCATAGGTATACTGTTGGGCTTGTCTTGAAAGAGCACAGGGCTAGGGTGATAAGCTAAAGGAATTCGTCAAATCTCTGTGAGAGATTAGGTTATCTGTAAATCGGAGAAATCGGGATGACATTTACAGGGACTTGGGAATCTATGCATAATAAAAGAGATCATGAGATGATCTGCCTTTAGAGTCAGTAAATTGAAGATTCCCTATTTCGAATAAAGCTTACCCTAAACCGCAAGGGTTGATACGTTTCCTTACCCTAGGTTTTATGGGAAGGTAACCGAGACGAAAAGAAATACATACGGCAACCAAATATGTTTAATAGGATGATCAAGTCATTAATCTAACTAGCTCTGGGGCAACAAAGCATTGCTAGTGCTTTGTGTTGTCATTAAATGGGTTGTGGGCTTGTTGGGCCCGAGCCCATTTATGTCAGTGGCTATGTTGAACCTAATGGGTCACACACTAACACCTTAATTTCATGATGATATAACATTAAAGGTATTGGGCCTAATAATGGTTGTTAGCCCAAGATGAAGTTTGGAAGCCCACCTAAGAGGAAAAGGGCGCATGGTATTGTTAATGGGCTTGGATGGTCCAAGACATTACTAATTAATTTAATTAGTTAAATTAATTACCAAATATTTAAATTTTGAATTTTGGATTTGAAATTTGAATTTTTAATTTGAATTTTGAAATTTGAAATTTGAAATTTGAAATTTGAATTTGAATTTTGAATTTTGAATTTGAAATTTGAATTTTGAATTTGAAATTTGAATTTGAATTTAGAATTTAAATGTTTGAACGTTTGAATTTAAATGTTTGAATTCGAATTTGAATTGGCTATGAAAAGTTGTTTCATAACAAAAGGATAAGATGAGATCTTGTTGGAACAAATCTCTTGTATCAAGAGAAGATCTATGGAGATCTCCAAGAGCTGATTTGGGGCGCCATTTTGGTGGGAGATGATTGTCATCTTATCAAACCTTTGGTGGGAGATGATTGTCATCTTATCAAACCAATAAGCTCCAATCAGATTTGGTTGTTGAGAGAATTAGTGAGCTAGTTGGTTCAAACTTGAACGCAACAGCTCAAATGTATTTGGACCCTTTTTGGGCTGAATAGGGGTGCATGAATTGGTGGTCATATGATGACCATTGGTTCAGAATTTTGACTAGATAAAGACCTAGTCTTATGAGGATTCAAAGGGGAGGTTGTTAGGATTTTTGAATTACAACAACTCCACCTTTGTCTCACTCACTTGTGCGCCACTTTCATTATAAGTAAAGTAAAAATTCTGATTTGATACACTAATTCTCTCCCTCTCTTGTGCGCCTAGTTAGTGAGTTCCTCCTTAAGGTTTTTCAAAAGAACCTAGCCAATTCTTCTATATACCATTCCCACTCTTGTGAAGTTTTCATGCTTGAGACTTCACTCTTCTAAACACATATACATAGCCTCCTTCTTCACCTATTGAGCGCATAGCAAGCCTCTCTGTGGTGGTCAATTGGTGACTTTCAAGAAAGCGTTCTTGCATCTTGACGTGGGTGGTGTGGATCAACGTTAGAGGGTTTGAACCCTTTAAACCTAACACTGATCGTCTTGGAGTTTTGAA